TCTAATATATCTTTGTAATAAAAGACTAAAGCCATCAATACACTGCGTTCAAATATAGAGAAAAATAGCACAGATACTGCGGGTGTTGAGTAAATAAAAAGATTGCTCTATTGACGGCATGTTTGTTTCTTGCAGTCCTTGTGCGCGCGCTGAATCGCATCAGCAAAAGCGCGCACGAAAACTGTGTTCGGCCACCTTAAATAAAGTTATTATTTATAAAACCAGTTTTTCTAGATACCTAGAGCGGTTTTCAACTGTAAAACTAAAACCAAAGTAATCATCACTCTAGCCAGTCGCAAATGACACAAACAATACAGTGAACCAATCAGAAGTCGAAGTAATTGTATGTGGTTGACAAGCAAAGCGCGGGAAAATTTGTGCGAACGAGTCACGATATGGGTTTGGTTTTACTTCTGATTGGATGAAAAAGTGGCGCGATTTTTTTTTTAACTCAATTGTGAAGCGTAGTTGATGCAAGAACAATGACTTTTCGACACTCAAATGAAATTCTCTCTAATTGTAGATCGACTTTAGACTGAATAGATGTCGTTACGATGTACTTACGTGAGGCTGGTTTGCAGGGCCGCTTTGCAGATTTTCTGAGAAAAACTTCTACCAAGATGCCTAACGCGAATAGACCGAGTAAAACGCCCATGATGATAAGTAGTAAAATACCCGTTTCTTCAGAATCTCCCGACAAAAGACTCACTATATCCTTGGATGGTTTAAAAGCCTACAAAGAGTACAATTCATGTTAAGTTTTCGTTACGAGAACACGAATTAAGATAGTGTTCTCTTGACATTTACAACTCAGACTTGATATATGTTTACTCGTTCTTACCTTAGACGACTGAAGAAAAGAAAAGAGATCATGTGCCAGTGGTTTACCAAGGGTTATTAATTTCATTTGTTACTAGTGGTCATGAATCAGAGGCGTTTTCAGTTGGTTAGTCATTCACATCCATAAACACTACGCCGGAGGAATTTGAAAACGGAGCTTTATTTCTCCGGTTAAGCCTTCCGTCCACACTAATCCGTCACGAAACGGAGCTTTTCGAAAACACCCTTCAAACTGAAGGAATTTGAAAACGCCGGCTTTGCGTTTTAATGTGGAGAGAAAACATTTTGAAACCGATGACGTCACGATAATCAATGATGTGATTGCCCTGCGCATGCCCGTGTTTTAGTCAAACACAAATCCAAAAAGACCGGTGATTGTTGCGTTTTCAAATTCCTTCGGTGTAGTGTGGACGGAAAATATTTCATGCGTTTTCAGAGTAAAACCTTCGTTTTCAAATTCCTCCGGCGTGGTGGACTCGACTTGAGAATAAAAGCTTCAACTTTGGACGAACACCGGAAAAAGGGAAAAAAGGCTAAAAGGAGCTCGTGAAAACTATTCTAGAGTGGTTGATTGAGATGGGTCACAAACGACAATTTAAACATAAAACTTTCAGCCGGTAAAGATACTTTTTTGGTAGCTAAACGGTGCAAACAAACATTCTTGTACCGCACATCATGCAAAACTGGAAACAATGTTTACTAAAATATCTTAGTCAAATCAAGCATTGAATACCTTTAAAGGAATAGTGTAGTTTTTGACGAGTGAGTCAATCAAAGGATTCTCCAGGCGATGTCTGAAGCAAAAGTTTTTTTGCAGGAAGTTGCAAGTAGTGTTTCGTTTAAGGGCCATCTTGTATGTAATATCTGCAGGAACGGTGTCAAACACTCGCAAATTATCATCATCGTCTTCTATATCCCTGTAAAAGTAGAATGCTCGGAGTCTCTCCATAAAGACACCCTCTACGTTATCATCAAGTAGATCCTTATGCATGTCTTCGAAATTCTCGTACGCTGCAAGAAAACAGACCTTATTTAAAATGATCTCTGTGAACGGAAATCTTATGTCTACGAAAAATCCTCAGAACATTCCCAGAATCTCCAGAAAGCGTTGGCAAAATTTTGAAGAACATTCGACAACCTGCCTTCCTGTGATCAAGCAGTCTTCTTTAACCTTTGAGACGAATTGGGGTCATGTCTCGGTGATGCAAAAAGTGAGGCGCGGTTGCCTCAAGGTTAACGTGCTAGACTCCGGTTTGAGTGGTCTGGGTTCATTGTGTTGTGTTCTTGCATGGCAAGACACTTTACTCTCACAGTACCTGTCTCCACCCACGGCAGGTGTGAAAATGGGTACTAGCGAATTGAATGCTGGGGAGTAACCCTGCGATGGTCTAGCGACCCATCCATGGGGGAATAGAAATACTCCTAGTCACTTCACGCTACAGAAACCAGGATAAATGCCGGTGGAATGGGTCACTTGGCGGAATGCAGACTTGGGTAATGTTCTACGCTCTAACTTAGAATCGTGTCACGCATCATTAATCTTAAATTTTCATAACCGGCAAAATACTCACAAGTCAGAGTTTCGGAGATATCGAGGGAAAATGTTCCTTAATTACATGCTCTGTATCAATGGGCTAAACAGCACTTACAATGAGTTGTTGCTCCCAGATAAAATGCTTCGGCCTCGGCTTTGCTGTCGTAAAATACGGCTACCTAAATAGTGGATAAGCAAAGTAAGAAAAGAATTGATAATAAATATAAAGTTTATAAAATAATTTATTTTCCGTTTGTGACTCATTATTTTACTCTACGCACTAGATCTAATGGCTATTCAAGGTAGCTATAATAAATAGTCATTTACTTCCTCTTTAATTATTCCTTATCCTCTCTCGTAAAATAAATGTTGATATAGCTGCTCAATCAAAACTTCACCCTAAGCAGCCCCCGCCAATTTCGATGCCATCGAAATTATGACTGTAAGTTGTGTTCCTGAAAGTATTTGTAATTATCTTTAGTAGTTTCACAGAGTTTTCATTCGTTTCGACATGCTCCGAATAAAATGTAATGCCAAGCTCTCGCCTGCAAACGAAAACAGAGTTGTGGCTGACTAGGGCCCTTTAAGACTCTAGAGTTTGTTTATGTTGTCTCAGAGCCTCTTCATATATGAGCCCGGTCAACCGGGCTGGCTCCGGGCTGGCTCGGTTTCCGAGATCTCGCCTCGCCACTCTTTCCTTCGTAAAAATGTCGGTGGGTTCATATGAGAAGCCGGGCTGGCCCGGTTACCGAGATCTCGGTAACCGGGATGAAAATTTTCCCATATGAGCACTCCAGCCCGGGCAGCCGGGACGAAACTTTTTAGACAAAATAGCTTCGCTTTCGCAACATAGCTGCAAAAATGGCATAATTTTTGTCTTGTATGTATTTCCACTTAAGGAGTATGCGAATCAGCTTTATTAGTAAAGATACAAGAGCCCACAAAGCTACGACGGCCGCGAACGATACAAGTTTATGTTCCACCATTTTGGTTGTGTTTCTTGGATTTCATCCCGGCAGACCGGGCTTAAATTTCCCATATGAACAGACAACAAAATTCGTCCTGATAACCGAGCCAGGCCGGTTGCCGGGCTCATATGAAGAGGCTCTCAGTATTTTGTAGTGGGTTGTACATTTGTGGTTAGACGGCACGGATATAACGTTCGCGATCTCTCCGCAGTTGTTTTCATGGATTTATCATTTTAAGACTAAATAGCTTCAAAAGAATATCGTTTTAATGCTGATAGTTAGCTTGATATCATTGCTCACCTCTTGTCCTTCCACTGCAGTGGTAAACTCTGGCGACGAACTGTGAGTGAGAGCGGAGGTCACCGTAGCGGTAAACATAGTAACGACAATTACACCAAGAAGAATCCATAACACGCCAAACAAGCGACCAAAAAATGATCTTGGAGTTTTGTCCCCATATCTACAAGTAACCAAATTAAATCATAGTAAACGATTTAACGATTTATATTTTCTGTTAAATATGATTACCTTTTGGCTAGAGGAGGGGCTCAAAACAACTTCAAACGAGTGTCGCTGGAGTCTCATTCCGGACGTTGACCGAGAGTAATGGGCGAAACGTCCACATTGTTTTGAGAGAAAATGTTTCCTTCGCTAGAAATAAGAGATGTGGCAAAATCTAATCTCCATCAAACTAGTGATTTTCTCTGGTAGTGCGTAGTACCAAGAAGGTACTGGGATCATATATCAGTTGGTTAACTAACGCCGATTGCTTAGTCACCAAAATGAAGGCTTTGTCGTCATCGATGAAGGGTTCTTAAAGGGAATCAGTCTTGGTCTATGAGAGTGCGTTGCAGCGTGATCTTAAAGTTCGTTCGTAGCTGACCAATGTTTAATGAAGTGTTTTTTCCTCAGCTGTATTCATAGTTTAAGTTATAGTTTATAAATCTCTATGGAAATTCATTTATTTTCCTACCCAACAGTAGTCATGCTGATAAAGGCCCACCAAAATCCTTCATAGGAGCCTTTTGCAAAGGACAAGGGAAATTCTTCGTTCTTTACATGGAACTCCTATGAGAAAATACAAGACTGTCAACGTCCTGCATAAAATCATAACTGAGTAGCAGTATAACAATTTGGCAGACGACGGACTGATTAAGACAGGAATCCATACTAGGCATTACTACCATTAGAGACTCCATAAGAGATCTAAGAAAATTAAGCTTAGAGGTTCGTTTACTGTAACCTGCTCTCTTATGTCATTCCTCGACCGTCGTTTTGAGAGACCGGGAAATTATCAGTCTCACGAGAGTCTAAATGATTATGGCCCCTAACCAGTAAGGAAACAAAAGAACAATATCATTATCCCTTTCACTTCCAAGAGTGTCAAACAGAAACTGGAAAGTCAGTCTCAAATTCATCACGTTTAAACAAAGAAAATCATGCATGACCGTGATGGTGTTTTGATATATGATTAGAATTAACATCGATTTTTATGATTTTATTTCTCCGCTGTTTCCTTCATCTTAGCTTTGATTGAGAAAATATATCAAACACTCAAAGCAGTGTTTGAACACACTAAACAACTTAAAGTCCGCAAAAAAAATACTCCGCTACTCGTCGTATTCTTAACTCTCTTCTCGGTGTTTAGAAATGTGGTCAAGCACGGTATTCCTTACATGCATGGTCACACGCTAGCGTTGAGCACTTCTGAGACTGCATGTAAGAATGAGAGAGTTGCATATGCTCTTTTTTTTATGTTATTGTAATACGTTCTTTTCATACCAATGCCCAAATACAAATCCCAGCCATTCCGGCTAGAAGGAAGGTCAACACGAAAATGGGCCATGAGTCGTAGAGCGCGTACAGCACCAAATCCCTCGCTTTCGCGTTGTACTGATCGATAAGGCCAATAAGCACATAACCATGTGATTTAACAATGTCGTGGAAAGTGTATTCAATTCCTGAAAATGTTAAAAGTGTTTCTAGCTTTTCCGTAACAGGAAATATGATGTCAGCTTTCATGAGAGCCTCGTTGAATTCCGCTTCCGTTTCGGTGCCAGTTTCGATGTCATTTTGCAACGTCAAGTTTATACCACGCCCACCGTTGCTATGGCAACAGCCTTCAAGACTGTCTCGAATGTAATCAAACACGATGCCTTGGAGGTACGTTTGGTCGCTACCGTCATCTTCAAATATAACATAGGGTGGAAATGATAGCATTACCACTGGGACGTCTTCAGTCGGACAACCTTTCGGGCCGAGCAGGTTGTCATCCGGGCATTCATCGTCCGCCTGTATATAATTTATCAATGCCAGTGCCACTACAGATAAAATCAGCACAATTCGCCTGGAAATCGCCATGATTAAAGCAACGCCACTTGGAACCAAACTAAAGAAGACAAAAATGTGAAAGGTATTTTTGAAAAAACACCTCAGTTTATCCAGTAGTCTATCCATTATCTATAACAATCAACTACATACTTAAATGTGAAGTTTTCTGGCTTTCTTACTTTCCTTTCCATTAAAGTTCACTAAGATTTTATGTGCTGTAGAAAAGCGACATTCGGCTGAAGTCCTTCAATAGGCCACTTTCGATATATTAAAATTCAGCTTGAGAGTGAGGCCCAGAGGACACAAACAAGTGAAATGAATAAACATGGTCATTCAATTTCCTTTGTTTGTGTCCTCTAAGTCTCACTGCCAAGCTGAATTTTAATATATCGAAAACGTTCTATTACTTCCATTCCATAGCCGAGAATTCCGAATAATTCTTAAATCACTCCTTGCACTCAAATTTAAAAGAGTATGCAAACAAATAACTAAACAAGTACAATGTAATAAAAGTCTGTACGTTTGCCGAAAATATTTAAAAAGTTTCTATTTGGCAAAGTACGTACAATAGACGTGAAGTATTTGCAATTGAATTGGTTCAAAAATAGTAAACTGAGTGAATACATGTAGATTTCCCGTGGAGATATCTCAACGGTAATAAAGTGAAGCATACAAAATAATTCAAAGTTTCAAAAAATAAACATTGCCATTTGTTTTGTCTAAATCATCTGTGTTAATTTTTCTGCTTTGATATATACATATATTTTTCATAACATTTCCGTGAGAAGTACTCCATTCAAAAGTGTGTATTGTATGCACTGAAATTAATATTACTGGGTAAAAACTTGGTCAACTGGAAACTGTAAAAAGGAATACAAATAAGTCACTTCAGGGCATTAATGTTGAAAGAAATTAATATATTTAATATTCAAATAAAGATGTTTTTTGGTAGGTTTTCTCATTACAAGCTCTAGAAGTATGGACGAGCCGGTCACAGTAAAAAAAAAAAAAGATTGAATTTAGACTCTATATGGTGGTTTTCATTACTATAATTCAAAACCTCTTGTCTTTACGATGCTGCAGCTTGGCTGCGGAGAATGTCAAAGAGGTCTAGCATGCATAACTGATTGCATGGGCTTGTTTTAATTGTCTCCCGTGTAGAGCTCTGAGTCCACACGCCAACTGGTCGGAGACCTGAGCATATCATCTGGATCTGATCAAGCAAATTTATTTTGAAAACTACCGTCTACTCTTAGCTCTGTATTCAGCGGCCAGCTAGCCGCTCAGCTGAATTTAAGCAGAAGCAACTCGATCGTTCTCCTGCTACATCTTCATGTGTGACATTATCTTCCTCTAGCTCTCTGCTCGCTTTCTACCCATAACAAGTACAAGACAAGAATTCGCCCCCTCAGGGACGTGCTGCGCTAATGCCACATTCGAAGACGGCCCTCTACTATATTACACTATTATAGCTTATAAGGAACGCTAGTAGATAGAGCCAAATATTGCGTAACTATGTAATGTGCTCGAAGTTCAC